GCATATTTACCTGTATTATGCTAGTTCTATAGTTATGAGCCGTAGTCAATTGCCATCACACGGGCACGGCCGTGCATACTTATCTGCTTATTTCTGTTTCGGTCTTACGTAATTCTCGGACGATTTGTAATGTACTGCACGCCACCGGACGGTCTACGCGCATGACATATTTTTGTCATTAACGCTTGTTAACTTTTGGTATTTGACATATTTTTTCACGTCGGTTATATATTTTTTTATTATTATATAGCAAACGTAATTTGCATTGAAGAAATGTTTCTTCCACTTATTCTTCCGCACTTAACGGTAGGTTACTGCCATAATTAATTTTTTTTTTTTGTCTTTTTATTTTCCCTTTTTTTTGTTAACGAAGAAAAGAAAATTAATAAAAGAAAAACATCACATTTCATATTTATTACATTTTTTTATATTTAATATAAATTATTTTAATAATATAAATAATCTCATCTCTCCAATTATTACTTATCAAATCACTATCCAACAAAATCAAACAAAATCTACTGCACAAAAGGAACGCAGATTCCCAACAAAAAAAATTAAATAAAAAATTTAACTATATTAAGATCTTGTACCAAAATGTTCGAAGCCCATGCACTTACCCAAATAACTTTTTTTAATTTTTGTCAATTGGGCCTTGTTAAGAATCAATACCCAAGTCTGTAGTGTGTACTGTGTAAGGCAAATTCAATTTCTCCCTCTCTTTGACACTTAAGATTAAAAGCAAATAATAGTAATAATAAAATACAGTAAAAAATAATGATGAAAGGAAAATAGACAAGAGTGTGTTTGTTTTGTTGAAAAATAAATAAAAAAGAAAAACAATATTTTTCTCAAATATTAATATATTGTATGCACTTATATTTTTATATTACTACAATTTCCTGCTTCACATAAAAAGACTAGCATTTCAAAAAACAAGCAAACTCCAACATGTTTGATTTGTATTTTAATTTCAATTTAAATAATACAATACTAATATGGTTAATTTAATTTTTTTACGTTTATTTCTACTTTATCTCAATATAATAGTAATATTTCTAAAATTTTGTGTAAAAAGCAAATGAATATATATATATATATATGAGACGAAAAGATTATACTATATGCATTAATATTTGCGAAACATATTGCATTGAGATGTATGACAATTAATTGTCAATTTTAACTACTCACTCCGTCCCATAACGAAGTATTCATTTCTCCATTTTAGTCCATCCCATAACAAAGTATTCATTTATCCATTTTAGTCCATCCCATGACAAAGTATTCATTTTCTTTTTTAGTTACTATCTACTTAACATTACAAATACCCTTACAATTTACAATATATTACACAAATGTCATTATCTTTATATCACACATACTAATAACGTTATTTTAGTCATTTCTACTTTATTCCTACTATATTCCAATATAATACTAATATTTCTAAAACTACGTAAAAAAAACAAATCGATATTTAGCTCCGGGAGAGAGGGAGTATTACTTTGTGCTAAAGTATTAAGTAAACAGTTGGTTGGTGTTATTTGGTTATACATAAATTGAAAATTATATATATTTTATATTTTATTTTAAAAATATTTAATTACATTATTTCAGTTTGCTGTATTTTTTTAAAAATAATTTTGTTATTAATTAATTATAAAAAATTTATTCAAATATATGTTTTTTTTTTGTTATTTTTAGATGTTTTGTAAATAAATAAATAAATATTTTTAAAAAATATGAACATTTTTTTATTAAAATATAAAATAGAAAAGAACAAAGCTTAGGGTATGTTTGTTTGGGGGTTTGGACTTTGGATTGGGATTTGAATAGTAAAAATTTTGAATTTGAATAGTTGTATGATGTGATATAAATAGAGTTTGATGTGATGTTTTGAATGTAAAATTGATTTTTAGTATAATATAAAAAATGAAAAATAGGTGTTTGATTTGATGTTTTTTGGGGGAAAAAATTGGATGAATAGTGGAAATCCTCCAAAATCCTTCAAACAAACACACCCTAAATGAATTTTTTATTAGATTAACTTTTAATTAATTTTTTTACCAGATTTATAAGTTTAAATAAATTTATTATAATATATTCATTATAATACAAAATTATGTGATAAAAATATATAAATAATAATAATAATTTCTATTTTGTTTTTATTTTAACAAATTAACACAATTTACAAATTAAAATAATATTTAATTATTTTAAATTTATAAAAATAAATTTATAAGTTATCAGAATAAATCATATTAAAATAAATAATAAAAAGTATTTATTAATATATATATATATATACTATGTGAACAAGAGACTTAGTGTTTAAAGACAAATTAATAATAAAAAAATTATTCTGAAATATGAGGTATACAATATTTTAAAATTAATTTTTAGGGTTCAATAAATTTTTTCAATCACCAAAAGTTTAAATTAGCAGGACATAAAACTATTAAATAAACTAAAAATTGATGAATAATAAGGTCATTACTAGACACACTTTGGCTTTGTTAAAATATACTATCTTTTATAAGATATATCAAAATTCATTTACTCGCTCGAAAACACTCATGTTTCAAAATTTTCGAAACTATTCTAAATAATCTCGGAAATTTCAAGACTATGTAAAATAGCTTTATAATTTACGATACTCTTCAAATAGCAACGGGTTTTTTTTGTTTCGGCCACTAATTCGAGACAGATTCCGAGCCTATACAAAATTAGTATCGGATTTAGTTTAAATTCCGAGGAAATTTTCCGAACCTAAAACTCTTTTTTCTGGCAGTGTTATGGCACTATGAAAATGAATTAAAGTGGTGTCACACCATCAAGTTGTAAAGGATTTACTTGCAGAGGCACCAATACATATATATAATGCTCCTACATTATGAATCTATGACATTTAGCCATTGCAATTAAATTAAATACAGCTGATCATAATGCTTATTCACAAATATCATATCGATCTTGATTAGATGACAATGTATGATATGCATGTAGGCATCACAATCCAAAAATAGCAGGTCTTTCACTGTAATCAATTTGACTTTCTTTGCAATAAAATTTGTTTCCACTTGAACAATAGGGACATCACTATGGTTGATGCTTATTCTTGGAGGCAGGTTTAATTTATATTTTCCTTCAAATCCATCATTGTCTTCACTTAAGAATCTATTTTAATTTCTGCTAATGGTGCAATTTGAAGACACCCCACTTGATTTTGCTTCATTTGGTGGATGTAACATTCGATTAGATTTTTATTTCTTTATTTTCAGAGACAAGCAGCAACTATAAATAGGGGATGACGATCTTCTTTTTTAAAATATTAACAACTCAACTTTAGAGAAACAAAACACTTATTTCCAAAGTAAGTAATTGAAATCCATTTTCTTTTTCAATTTTTGTAGAACTATTACTGTCTTAATCAACACAGTCACACACTAATTGATGTTTGGACAGATTAAGGGATGCGTAGATTCAAAATTTTCAGATAAAAAAAAAAACGTCTTATTTTAGGGTTTTCTTCTCTCAGGTTGAATGTATGATGTTATCACATTTTAAGTTTGCTTTTAGAAATATTTATAAAACATGTGTTTTTGATCATTTATAATATTTTTTATAAAAAAATAAAATTTGAATATGCTGTTTTACAGATTATTATTATTATTATTTTCTTTAGGGCAAAGTGCTAAAACATGTTTGAAAACATATCGAATTTATGAATAATGGCAGGGAACATATCTGAGAGATATATATGGCTGACATAAGGGCAACTGCGGTCATCGTGCTGGTCTTACTGATAGCATCGTCGGGGATATCAATGGCGGCGGCGGAAGATCACAAGCAAATTAGAGAGGATAATTATAAGGGAAATGATGTTAACAGCAATCTTAATGGAGGAAACCACCATGCCTATCCCATTCCTGAATTCAACATGCAATCGGGACGTTCTACTCCCGGGAGAGACTGATATATATATATATATGCCTTACAATCTTGTCACCAATTATATATATATATATATATATAAAATATATGAAGGTATATATATATGCGATCAAGTCGGGGAATGGTTACAGTAGTGATTGGGGCAAGTCGATATTATGTTGATTTGCTCCAATCAGTTAAGATAAAGCAGGCATGCAATACTTGTTTTTATGTAAAATAGATTAAATAAAAGCATGTATTATTATTTTATACTTGTAGGTATGCTGTATGAATACCTCTCAGTGCTTAAATTAATAATATTGTGTGCTGTGTAAGATTATGTTATAACTGTTATTAGTTTATGTATTGTATCTATATTATATTAATAAAAATTATGTTATTTTTCTTTATATCATGTATTGTTTGTCATTATATGCGGTGATGTTTGTGTGGAATATGTATAAGATTAAAAAAAAGGAAAAATAAAAAGAAAGGGTTTTACTTCAATAAAAGCAATAGTTGGTATTGATAACGGTATATATATAAGTTATGATCGTATTGTATGATATATTAAGAAAAAAAGATAGTTCTAATACTACAACATGTTGATCAATACAAATTTTTTTTTTTTGGGTTATGATTTGTTCATGGATCTGGAATTAGAATCGAAAGACATGTTAGAAATACAAAATTAGAAAAATGCCAAAAAATGAGATAAACTCATCAATTTCTATATTCTTGGCATCAAATCTATATTTATCATCAATTCTAGATGAAATGATCCATTAAAGTGGTTCAAGTTTTGTTAAGAGTAGAATATTTATGAAGAGTCTAGATATGAAAAAAAATACAAAAATACTAATAAGGAAGAGTATGTGAAGTAGTCGATCGCATAAATAACCAATATGATAATATAATATACAATGTTATAACATATTATTAACTTTTAGCAAACAAAATATATACACAATCCCATACAATATATAGATTATACACTACGTATTTCTATATAGCATAATATTATAATAGTTAAAAAAAAGAAAAAGAACTCTAAAACAAACTCAACAGAGAAAATCTGCTTTCCAAAATAACCATGAACAAATTCAGTGTACAAATTCACCAACCCAAAGATCCACTAATAATTCTAACATAACCTTAAAACAGACTTCAGTACCAAACCCCACAACCTAATAATACAAATACCCGACGATGATTAAATTTCAACAATAATTTAACAAACATATATATAATCCACTTAATTAAAATAGAAAAAAAAAAAAAATCACAAGGAGGAATCTGTCTCCTGGAGAGAGACTAATGTCAAGTTAGCATCGATCGATCAATTAATTACATTTTTTGTAAAAAAAAATCGACGACGATGACTGATTCGATTAAATTAATGAAGGAAATCAAACCCACCAATGGAAAGCAGTAATTTAGAAATCACGTCATCTGCAGCTGTCCACGTGTCGTTCTGACAGGACAAGAGATGGCCGGGCCCACTACGGCATTAGATTAGTGGAAAGATTGGGACAGGCCATGTGATCGCATGCCTGCCCAGCTAATATAATGAATTCAAAAAATGAAGAAAGAATTCATCAAGAAGAATAATATTTTGCTGCTAAATTAAATTAATTATAATTAATTAATTAATCTTCTTCTGTACAGCCATCCCGCCGGCCAATCAGGCTGCCGGCGGCGGATCGTCGCCGGCGGCGGCTTCACTCTCCATCTTCTCCTTCTTCATGTTCTGCTCGTGGTAGATTTTTCTCAGCCTTTCTATCTCCTTCTTCAAGGCTTCTTGATGGGCTGCATAAAATTTATTTATTTATTGTTTATATATATTTATTGTAAATAAATTAATATTCAATATTTAATTTATATATACCATCTTTGAATATTTTGTCTTGTGCCAAAGCAGCAATCCGCTGCTTAAGAGCACTGTTATCCACATTCAGAAGAAGCCTCTGATGATCCAAAAATGCAACCCTCGGAGACAATGCTGATACCTCAGTCTTTAATAATTTATTTATATATATATTAAATAATTAGCAATTATGATATTTGATTCGAGTAAAATATATAATTAATTAAAATAATAGTAATGTTTATGTACCTGTAACGTTGTCACACTCCTTTCGAGCTCAGAAATGTATTGCAACTTTCTCACTCTTGATCTCTGTGCTGATTGCCGATTAGCCAATATTCTGAAAGTATATGTTGTTGTTGTGCCCACGTTTAGTAACGGAATAAAATGTTTTGTATAATATATTTTGTCATACAAAAGATTAGCAGAATAATGAAATTAATAATTAATTGAATTTTAAAATATATATAATGTTTGATCCAGTTAGTCGGCTACTCATTTTTATAAGCAACTTTTCCAGGAATATTATATTCATGACACACATCGGGATTTTAATTACCTAATTATGGCTTGATTTAGACGTAATTCTGATTTATATGATCATTTTGATGATTTATCGAATTTACCAATCTATTACGAAGTTTTGATAGTACAGAATTTTAAAAATATATATATTTTTAATAATATATACAATTAATCACGTACCGCTTGATCCGCTTGGGGTCGACAATGGTGTCGCCGGAATTATTGTTGTCGGAGCATTTAGCCGGCGACGGAGCGTCCGCGGTGGCGTTGCATGAGCTGTCCACCTCTCCGGGTTCGGTTTTCAGCTGCGCGCGGTGGAGGTGGTCCGCCGGGAACCTCCTGTCGTCATTGTCGCTGTTCTGATCGGACGGCGAGGAGGGGTTCGCGCTGGAGGTTCTATTCGGCGGTCCGGCGGCGGCGACGTCGTCGGAAAACATGCTGCGCAGCTGCTCGTCGTCGAGCCTGTCGAAGCCATTATTGTTGCTGCAGCTGTTGGGCTCCTCCACGAAGGCGATGGGGTCGCTGACTGTACGGCGGTGGGCGCTCCGCCGCGTGGCGGAGAAGTCGAGGAACTCGTCGACCCATGAGCCGGCGGAGGACGGCGGCGGCGGCGCCATCTGGAAGGGGAAGGAAGACCAGTTCATGGGGAGAGGGGGCTTCGGAGGCAATTGCTCCATGCAAATTAAAGACACAAATTTAATTATTTAAATCAAATTAAAATTGAATAATTGGAATGGTCGGGTTGGGGAATTGCAAGAACTGTACGGCCGGAAATGGAAGGCAAAATAGGAAGGGAGGGTTAGGCTTAGCCGATTGAATGGAGACAGTTAGAATGCAAGAGGTTGGAATCTTTATTGAATTGAAGGATATGTATATATATATATATAAAAGCTGAAATTAATTAATATGTAGGATATATATATATATATATTTGTATGTGGAGATGCTATATAGTTACCAGGGGGGGGGGGCGGGGGGGGGGGTAATGCACATGGGGTGGGGGTGAGGGGGAGATGGGACAGCTGGCAACAGCTGGATTTGAGAAGAAGTGTCATATGCGAGAGGGGAAGAGATGAGATGAGGTCGCCATTAACAACGGAAAGTAAAGAATTAAAGAATAGTTTAATAAGAAGGGAAGGGTAGGGAAGGGAATCATGAGCGCAGCACGTGCCGATGTGACTTTTGCCCTCTGCTCTTCCATTCATATATGTCTGGCGCCAAATATCCTCTTTATTTATTTATCTTTTTCAATATGGCTAAATTGATTTTTTTTAGTTTATTGTCTAACTCATTTATTATTTTAATACTTTAACTAAATTTTGTATCAAAATAATTTCGTAAGGAATTTTTTTTTTTTGCTAAAATGGTCATAAGGTATCGGATTCGCTACGTTGGCAGCCGTTGTTGATGTGGCGCTGACGCAGTTGACATGTCATCGCCAAGTAGATGCCACGTTGGGGGACCATTTTAGCGAAAAATTTTATTTGCTGAACTATTTTGAAACAAATTCTACTTAAATGTCCTAAAAATGATAAAGAAGGTCATATACAATACTAAAAAAATAATTTTCCAAAATATTTTATAAAAAAAAATCCACGTGCCGTTGACGTGACATCTACGAGGCAATGACATGTTCACTCCGTCAGCACCACGTCAGTAACGACGGGTCAACGTGGTGAATTTGGCACCAGAGGACCATTTTACTGAAAATTTTTTATTTACGGGACTATTTTCAGATAAAATTCACTTAAAATTCTAAAATGATAAAGTGAGTCAGATACGAGATTAAAAAACAATTTACCCTTTAAATATACTTCGTCCGACTCGACATTAGTAATACTCCCTCCGTCCCAATACAATAGTCTTGTTTACTATTTTTGTCCGTCCCAAAACAATAATCTTATTTTCATAAATAACCATGTCACCATAAAAAATTTTTATTAAACAATTGCCGTTACTTTATACACTAATATACTTACAATGACAAAAAAAATTTTATTCATATTTTTTACCAACTACTAATATAATATCAATATTAGTTAAATTTGGTGCTCAACTCAATTAAGACTATAGTTCTGGGACGGAGGAAGTATAAAAATATTGTCATTATTATTATAAAATTATTTGGGTGTGTGTACTTGTGAGGTTTTAGTTTTTGGTTTTGATTTTGAATAATAAAGTTTTAAATTGAAATAGTTGTTTGATATGATATAAATATGTGTTGATGTGATATTTCACTACTAGAAAAAGGTTGATAATTGCGAAAATTTATTGCAAATTTTAATCCGTGACAATTAGAAGTCACAGAAAGTAATTTTGTGACAAATTTATGTCACAATTTTTTGTTTTGGCTATTCAGTAAGTAATATTTGCAGAAAAAGTTACAAACAGCTTTCTGTGACTATTTAAAGTAGCGGCTTATGTAACGAAAATGTCCAAGATATTTCCATTCCGTGTCTTTTGACTATTTTGTCACAAAAATTGTCACAAAATTTTTTCTAGACTATTTTAAGTTGCGGCAAAAATAACCAAAATATTTCCAACATTTTAAATTATTATTGATATTGTCATAGTATAATTTTCGTGACTTTTTAAAATCAAATGTCACAACATAAGTAACGAAAATAACTATAATTTTTTTTATTATTATTCGTAGTTATTCAAAGTAATAAAAAAATAATAAAATCATCTTCAATATCTTTATTCAAAATCGTTCGTAGCTATTCAATTTTTTTTTTAAAAAAAATTATGATGATATATTAAATAAATATGTATATATTTTAAAAGATAAATTTATAATCAATAATATTTATATAGTTAAAATATAATAACAAATAAAAAGTAATAATTTAAAGTAGATAGCTAATATGGCATGACAAAGTCGTTTAAGTCTTTAATAACTAAGGTCACTAATTCGAAACCCTTCGACTAGTGTGGTACGAAGTAATTATTTTGTTAATATAAAGTCACAGAGGTGTAATAGTATTATTTTGTAACTTATTGTCACGAAAATATCATAATTATAAAATATTTACCAAATTTTGTTGCAGCTTCTGTTGCTATATAAAATCGCGGATATGTCATGATATTATTCTATAACTTATTGTCACAGAAATGTCACCACTTAAAAACAGTCACCATGCAAAATTCCACGGAAATGGTTCTGTATATTTTTCTGTGATTTTTTAGTAAAAAGTCACAAATTTGTATTAAAATCGTGACTTTTTTTACCGCAACTATAACCTAATTTTCTGATAGTGTTTTAAATGTAAAATTAGATTTTCATGTAATAAAATAAATAAAAATTTAGTGTTTGATTTGATTTTTTTTAAAAAAATTAAAAATAGTAAAATCGAAAACTAATTTCACAAGTAAACACACCCAAATCTTTTTTCTTTAGAGATAAATGGATTAATAATACACCCCTAAATAAACAAACCCAATGTTGAACCATGGTACATAAGTTGTGATATAAATTAAAAAAAAAATTAATAATTTTAAATTAACAAAGAACTGATGGTAAAAAATTAGTTCCGTAAGAATAACCTAATGGTGTGGGGGTTGGGTGTTTAACAGTAAGGTGATGGCTTCAAACCAATAGGACCGAGTATTAATTTGTCTATTTTACAATCATGCAAATCATATTGGATTATATGTTATAATTTCTTTTTACTCTTTTAGTTCTAATTCAATGTATATTCGATTTATCATTTTTATTTGTCCCACTAAAACAAATTATTTTAATTATAATAAAAATAATCATATGTAAATATCAAAATACTCATAATTTTTATAAAATTATTTATTTTACTTTTTGCTTTGAATCAAAAAAAATATCAAAACAATTTTATATATTTTCACTAATTAATAAATATAATCTATTACCAAAAAAAAAAAAAAATAATATATTGGACAGGGGCAAAGAAAGTATATATATGTATATATATATATATTTATTTTGATATTTTTGAAGTGAAGCAATAGTAGATGAATGTAATATATTCCTTCCGTCCCTAACCATGTCAAAACAATAGTTTTATTTCAATACTCCTACTATTTCATTTTTATTACACAATTGTCACTACTTTTTACATTAATACACTCACAAGGAAAAAAAAAAAATTATTCATACTTTTTATTCACTATTAATATAATATCAATATTCTTTAAATTTTGTACCCAATTCAATTAAAACTATATTTATGGGACGGAGAGAGAATTAGAAATTCTTGTGGTTTCTTGTTTGGAGTATTTTCAAGATACATTTTGAAATATTCTTTCATTGTAATAATTGTTGTTTGAGAAGATTGAAAATACATCAAATGAATAAATTAAATAGATATATTGATTACGAGAATGTTACTCTTATCGACTAACAAAATATTCATATTTTTATTTTAAATTATTTAATTACAAAGTAATTATATTTTTAATAACTATGGATTTTATCTTTTTTCTATAAATATATTTTTATTTTATTATTATATTATTATTTTTACACTAAAAAATAATAACAAAATTATTTTTAAATTACTTTCAATTATATATTATAATTAAAATATTAGTATTATTTTTTTAACTCCACGTTAAAAATAAATTATATATTTTTAAAATAAACGGAGGAAATATCTAAATATTATTGCCTCCGTTGAGAAAAAAAAAAAAAAAAAAAGAAAAGTGCTCAAACTTTGGGTATAAGTTTTAACGTGGATGTGCACTTCTGTTACCATATTTTCTATTTTTTTTTAAAACTTTAACTAATTAAAAAAAAATAAAAATTTAGGTGACTGGACGAGAAAAAAGTACAAATTTAGGTGACATGAAAGTATTTCTGCCTCACTTCTCCTTTTTTTTTTTTTTTTTTTTTTTTTTATTTCTTAGTATTTGAATATTAATTATTATATTAAAACGTAATACAAAAATGATAAAAATATTTTTATTGGTGTCTTATAATATTAATGTAATGATATTTGTAACAAAAAATTATACAAATATAAAAATATTTTTAATATTAAAAACAATGACAACAAATACAAATGGATAGATTGAGGGTGGACGGAGGTAATATTATTACTATTATATTTTTTTCCCTTGGACAAATACACTGAAGGCGGCAGAGTACGTTATCTTCATCTTAATAAAAGTAAATTACATTTTAATAATTAGTTTTACATATTCAAGAAGTAGGTACCATCAAGTACAAAAATAGTTTAACATTATTCTTTCGGCTTAATAAAAAATAAATTACATTTTAATTATTTTTACAGATTCAAGAAGATTCCATCAAGTACAAAAATAGTTTTACTTAATAAAAGAGTGAATAAATAATAATATTGAATGACAAAATATATTAATATAATTGAAAGAGTATGTAAAAATAATATATATTTTTTTGTATATATAAAATAGAGATCAATTTTAAATACATCTAGTTTGTGTTTGATTGTAGGATTTTCTAAGAGTTTTGATAAAATTGTTCCAATAAATATCTGTTTTTCTATTTTTTTTTATATTACATCAAAAATTAATTTTACATCATAAATATTATATTAATATATATTTATATTATATCAAACCATTATTTCACTTCAAAAATTGCTATTAAAAAAACACAAACCTCACAAACAAAAACACAACTATTGTTTCAATGTTGGTTTATCTTAAAATTTGAAGTTTATGATGTAAAAATTGTGTTGGATGAGATAATATTGTTGATTTGAAATTCTTTAGAAGAAAAAAAAAAATCATGAAAATTCCATACTATAGCTCTACACACACAGCTATAGATACAAAAATGTATGCATATGAATACATATATAAATACATATTAGTGTTGAAAACTACTCCTCAAAGAGATTACATATGGACAAATGAGCTGTGTAAGAAAATTAAAAGGGCATCCATCTATAATATATATATATACACATCTATAATATATATATATATACACGACAAAATTGTACAAAATTTATTTGTGGTTTTATGAAATTGCGCCAAATCTCTCATATTTTGAAAACTGTGTCAAATTTCTTCGTGGTTTCATAAATTATTCGTATAATATCTTCGACCATCCTTATTTAACAATGTTTGACCTATACGCGTCCAAATTGCGAATAAGTTTCATAATCTCAAATTTTAAACTCCTAAAATTACAAATATATTCATTTATTTTATATTTAACCTAAAAAACAGCAAAAAAAAACCCAGAGAAAAACAACTATTTCTATGTATATTTACTGTTTCTTGAAGCTGAATATAAAAAATAAATGAGTATATGTTAAATTTTAAGAATTTATAATATATTTTTTTAAACTCTTTTGTACTTGGGACGTGTGCAAATCAAATCCTGCTAAATAAGGACGATCGATGAAGTTAAATGCTAAGTTTATTAAATTATTAAAAAAAATTGATGCAATTTTAAAATATATAAAATTTGATGCAATTTCGTAAAATCATATATTTATAGATATTATTTTGTACTGTATAATATATATATATATATATACACTAACATTATATATTAGGATTAGATGTATAAAATAATAAAATTAAATGTCCACCCTCCCATGTGCACTGTGTTCTTAGCCCCCACCTTCCTCTTTACTTTGTCTCCCAACTCTCACCCTCATCCCCACATGCTCTCTCTCTCTCTCTAACCTCTACATTGTATAATTTGTTAAAATTATATTTGATAAATAACTTATTATAACATATATTTTTTTAAAAAAATACAAACATTCTTCAAACTATAATCAGAAAAAAAAAAAAAAAAAAACAAACCTGATAGTATAAATGCATAAGTAAGTAGTATCAAAATTTAAACATACTCATATACTAATGATTTGATCTAGTGCTTCTCTATTATTAAATTTAAAAGATTAATATATCAAATTAAAATAATTAAAAATGTAATAATTCGTGGCAAAATATAAACTGAGTGCATGCTCTCTCTCTCTCTCTCTCTATATATATATATCTGTCTCTATAATATATATATATATATATATATAGTGCTTAGGGTGGGAGGGAGACACTAATAATGATTAGTGCAAAGTTCAAAGGTTGTGCCAAACAAGCAGCGCAGCTTCTGTCTCACTAAACCATTTATTATTATTATTATTATTATTATGATTATTATTATTATTAAAGATGCTTCCGTTTCCTGTCGTGTCATGTTTATAATAATTAACTAATTAACCAAAATATCCCATGAATTAATTAATAAAAGGATTTTCCATTATGATCATGTGAAGGAGATTTTATCGTCACGCAATAGAATAAATTCATTAAAGTATATATATAATTAATAATAAATAATAATATAGTAATAAAGAAACTAGTGGTGACTGGAAGCAGCAAGCATGTGCATATGCATGTGCATGTGGTGTGAAGAACAAACTCACATTCATTCAATTCAATTCAAGGATACCTCTGAAAAATAAATCAAATATCTCTTCCAATATATCTTTTAAATGTAAACAAAAAGCCAAAGATTCTGACCTATTAATTAATTAATAAATAAATAAATAAAATCAGGCAATGTCACTGTCTGTGGTTTTTGTGTTGTTATGGTTTTTTTTAGGTCTAATTTTCAATGATCCCAAAAAATTTAATTTATTTCTTCATTCATTAATTCCTTCTCCGGCCGTACGTACATGGGCTGGGTCAGGTCGGGTCGGGTCCGGTAATCAAATTATTGCACGTGGAGGAGCCACCAACTCTGCCCTACTACTAAATTTTTTTATTTCCCCTTTTCCCTCGTCTTAATCATCCTTCGTGCTTTTCCCCAACTCTATGTTGGCTTTGTTTTGCAATCCCAAATTATGTAAAAATAGTTCATTTGGACGCGAAAATTTTAAAAAGAAAGATACTCCTTCCGTCTCATAAGAAGTATGCTATTTTACATTTTTGTCCGTCTCAAAAAAAGATATTTTCTAATTAAAGTTAAAGGTATTTTGATATTAACGTATGATTTTTTTATTTTTTATTTTTAAAAATGAAAGAGATAGTTTGAAATTAGATGGACGAAAATAGTATGAAGTATTTTTCCTGAGGAATTGAACCTATGATTAATTGAACCTAAATGAATTGTTACTATGATTATACGTATACTCTGCTGGTGACAATCTACATATGACCATTAAATGATTGAACCTCAGTTCATCTGTCATATATGGTTCGTCTAGTGTGATTATCTAATTTGTAGGGTATTAGATTCAGCTAGAATTTATCGGTGCGCCCTTTCAGATAGCAGTTTTTCCCACGTCATAAATATATATATATATATATTGTTGATTCATTCACTTTATTTTCGCCTTCTTGTATTTATGCTCGGAATTAATGAAAATTGCGCATTTAATATGAAAATACCAGTCAAAGTAATAGCTTTACTATGCGCCGGCCATCTAAAAGATTGTTTAGAGCTTCAAATAAGGCTTTTTATTTTTTTGTTTTTAAAATTGCAGTTATTCTTATTTTGGGTCTATTTTGGTCTTTAGGGTTACCGACTAAAAAAATTTAATTTTTGTTTTTGTGATCAATTTTTTTTTTTTTTTTTGGGAATAAAAAAATCTTCGATCTTTGATAGGAATTTTGCTATTTTTGCATGATAGATTGGAAATGGTAAGTAATTGTAATACTGTGTGGATTGGTATTCAGAGCGTTAGACGTTCACATGCAATGCATGATAATAGCCTACACAATGTGTACCTAATTATGTGGTTTTCATTTATTATGTAAATTATCCTATGTTATTATATTTAATTTATTTATTTACTATAGTCGATTAAAATCTGAGATTAAGTAAAAAATTATTTACTATACTTATTAATTATATTGAAAACATACTATAATAATGAACATACAAATCATACTTGTGAATTATTCCACCGTAACACTTTTAAGAAGTATAATATATCATAAATTCTCCACAACAAGAATAATAGAGCCCCTCGTCACGATTTGAAATTTTATTTAAATAGTATTTTAATGAATTTAAAATTACAACCAAACACACCCCAAATCTTTTGCCTAAAAACATGAATAAAGTTTTTTGTTGTTCCAACAGTAATGATTTATACATGATTTATTTTGACATTGGTGACATAATTGCTAGTTAGAACTATAAAGATGTGTACTTCCAAGTTGTTCCTAACCTTTTATGGACTCCCTAATCAAAACTAAGATCTTTATAATTAAATTTCCTTTATTTTTTAATTTTTACATTTAACTATAATAATAAATTTTTAAATATAATACTATAATAATTTCATCAAGGCACGTGCATCTTTATATTATCTAATAATAATTTCATCAAGGCATCTCAAGAAGAGGAGAAAGATGTGATAAAAGAATGTTGTCATTACCAAAAGAACCATCTCTTCTTGTTGGTCGATTCGCCAATTGACTCGTCCTTTCGGTTTTCCAATCCTTGCTTCAAGGCATCCTGTCGATTCCTACGCAGTAGTTTCGTTGTTGTGTCATTAACATCATCAGCAAAGTGGCCAAAGATGTAGGATTTGTATGAATGCAGTAATGCTTATGCTTTAGAAAAATATAAACATTACTTTGTATCAGTTAGGCGACCGTGCAGACTCCATCTTTGGCGAAATCCTTCCACGCCTTCAACTCCACTTGCCAAAATCAGGCGCCTATATGACGAAGAGTAGACAGATAAACATTGAGCTCAATTAAAATTTGAATTTAAATGCCAATTTCCGAGTGAAATCCAATCATTTCGTATGCAAGGCAGATGGGCTAAATTGCATCTAGATGAATAGGTGGTGCAGATAAGACTTTAACAACAATGGCTCCTGCGGTTCCTTAATTCATCTACGGTAAATAAACTGACTGGTTTAGCTATTCCTTCAAGAATTGGCGTGATAATGGCACGGCTAGTAAATAAGAAGCCTGTTGCACATTTATAAATAATACATATTAACGACAAAAATACCAAGTTAATCATATGCATAACAAATTTATTCAGAGAAGATATTTTGTCATCTTCCTGAAACCATTCTAAAATATGTAACAGGATTCTGCCTAATAATAAGAATCAGCACAATGTACTCATCTTGAAGCTAGTGAAATTATACTCATGAATTTCAATTAATGTGATTTAATCTTATATGATGACATTTAATCATAGCTAATGATACATACCTTTCCAACAATGATGCTTCTGCTTCTAAGCTCTTATATCTTTCCTTTGCTTGTTCCAAAGGCATTGACATCCCTAATTTCCGTTCACTATCTTGAAGCCGTTGTCTCAATTGATTATCCTATACATTGAAGATCCTTCCATTGAGTGAGGGCAAGAATTTTTATTTTTTCCTTTGAACGGAAGATTGAGAACACAGTATCAAGAATCCAAGTTTACCCTTCTCTCTGCACACTGTTTGTATAATGCAATTTCATCTTGACAAAATGGCTCAATATCATTAATTTGAAGACCTATGATACAAGAGCAATGAAATTAAATAAGAATTTGTCCTCTGGAAATTAGTGTCTCATCCTGATGCCATTTCTATTCCCAGAAGACAAAGGAGGAAGACTTACACAAAAACAGATTCCGCAGAATTCCATCGCATAGATTAACACCTTCTAGTACATGAGATGCTATTTCAGGTGGAATGATGGGTGAGGGCGGTCCCGTCATGAGATCATCACCCACCAATATAGTTTCCTCCATTGTAGGTTTAGAATCCACTGAAACACATGTATAAAGGAAAACAACTCACTACTTTTGCAAACCACATTTCACTACAATTGTTAACTCTTAACAGAATTTGTTGGATAATTCTTACAAAGAATGTCACTTCTGCCATTTAATCTTTCAACTTGGAATATCCAAAAAATTATGAAATGATTTTTTATTAAAAAAATGCTTGAAATATAAAATTCCACATACCATCCATGGTGAGGACCTGTTCCGGTACAAAAAGTGCTCAATGATACGCTTCGGGTCCACAAGTAACAATTTAGACACTGAAATATAAATGAAGAACATATAACCATCCAAGATTATGTTAATATCTAGTTCAAAACACATAGCAACTCATTTATATATGTATGAGTTGAAACAAAAAAAAAAAAATATGAAGATATCAGTAAAATAATATCACCTGAAAAGAAGAATTAACCTCATAGTAGATGATCACTCAACAATCAATTTCTATACAGGTTAATTGCATCATAATTTCCCAATTTGTTTACACAATTAGCTTCTCAGCTCAAGCTGTCATTGGATGAGCATTCTATTTAATAACGCAAAACTAAATTCTTCATAATTGGCAAATTAAGTTCAGTTTTGAGCTAATTTGATTGGTCCAAATGGATATTAATGAAGTGAGGTGCCCAGTCAGACTGCCAAATTCTTCTAATTTGGTATACCGTTAAAATCATGATCGCAATCATATAGAAGGTTTTGCAGTGTATCAAAAGATAACAAGCATAAAGTTTATTTTAATTCAAGTCTATTAGAAATCGAGTAGGAAAATCATGTAAAAAATGAAATGGTTTCACTCTCTCAGGTAGCTTGTTGTGTACAAGGACAAAACCTAGCTTAGTTCGATTTAATTTGACTCCGAACAACTAAATTTATAGAACTCTTACGAAACTGAAACACAAGACAGTAAAATTAATGTCAAGATCACATAAGCGCATGAACAGCCACACATGAAAACATATACCAAAATAAACGATGAAAACAGCCGGTAATCCACGCCGAGCGTTGACAGAGCTTTCCACCACTGCTTGCCACTCACTAATCGAGCCTATTTCGCCACTGCTCGTGCGCGTCACCGGATGATGAATCCAATCCCTGCTGCTCACTGCACAACACTCTCTCGCGCGAGCACAAACTTCCTCTCTCTCTCTCTCGCCTATATCGCCGGAATCGAGGTTGACCGGCGCCGGAGAGGTGCCTACTCTCCCTGCTCGATCGCGCTCGTTGATGGCGCAATCGTGAGAGAGAACGAACATAGGATTGGGTTAGTTTCTGTGGTTTATTCGGATCATGGGCGTGGGCGCGGGTTATTGGTTTAGGGTTTTGGTTTTGGATCTTTTTCTTTTTGTTCATGGGCTAATGATAAAATTGGGCTTGGACCTCTTGGTTCTACTTTTTTTCTTTTGCTTCAAAACCCTCAAATACTTACAATGGTTACAATTTTTTTTTTTTTTTACTTAATATTAAAAATATTTTTATATAATTTTTTGTACAAATATTATTCTAAAATACTAATAGAAATATTTTGTCATTTTTTTCTTAATTAATACTAAATTTTAATATAATAATTACTATTAAAAAAAAGAGAAAAGTAAACTATTTAAGTCGGATGGAGGTAGTACATTTTCTTAGGGATGTCAAATTGGGCGGGTTAGTCCGGACCTGCCCCAGGCCCGGTCTTAATGGGGCGGGTTCGGGTCTAAAAAATTTGGTTCGGAGCCGGTTATGAATTTTGAGTTTTAGACCCGGCCGGGTTCGGAGCGGGTTACAGGTTTTACTATAAACCCGCCTCACCCGGACTCGAACCCGAATATTTTAATAATTATGATAAATTTATTTATATTTTTATACAATATAAATTATATTATTTATTTATTTAAAAAAATTAAATATAAAATAGAACATTAATTCTAAATCAAATTTATCTTTACATTTGTTTATCCTACAATTCTCTTTATAGTCGGGACTACTACTGACCGTCATCACTACGGACTATCGTCAATATTTGATTGTTCTTATTTTTAGAACTATAATTTTTTTTTTGTACTGACACATACTTCTTTAGTATTAAATTATTTTAAAAAATTTTTATTTTATTTTATTTTATTTTATTTTTTTTTGAATTATAAATATATATATCAAATAATTTTAATCGAGAAGTAAAAATAATAATAAATATTACCTACAATATGATTATATGGAAAACATGGTCGTGAACATGACTTAAAACATGACTGTGTTGAGAACAGGGTCGTGAACCTAACCTAGAACATGGTTGCGTTGAGAATATGGTCATAAACAACGACTGTGTTAAGAACACGGGCCGTAATCAACACAGCTGGCTGTGTTCAGTTCCAATCAACCATTTTGGGACTAACATTGATAAAAACTTTTGAATGAGACCAAAATTGATAATTATAATATTGAATGCAACAAAATTGATAATTATAATATTGAAATTTTTCTCTCATAGTAATATTTTAAGCACATTCGTTAAATATTGTCAATACATAATAGGTTTATTTTTTAAAATAAAAATAAATATACATGTTTCTTTTGACGAGTTTGGAAAAAAATTGATTTGAGTTTGATATGAAAATAATATTTAATGAGATGTTTTGTGAGAAGAAAAAATATATTTTTTTCGAAAAACGTATAATCCAAATAGTAAAATTTGAAAAAATTTTGCAAAAGAAATGTACCTTATATATTTTTTAAAAATGAAATCGTTAAAAATAAAATTGGAAACGCAAGTAAAGATAAAGTTGAGTATTACTATATTCAATCATTTGACCGTTACAATGACGAGAAATCCCATGGCCAAGGCAACATATTTGGAATTGGCACATGGTTAAATTTTAACTTAAAAAGTGTATTTTTGTAAAAAGAAAATAAGAATTGCATTGTAAAAAAATAATAATAAAACCAAACTCGTGTTCGTTTTAGCATAATAATTAGGATTATGCAGGTTTCTCCTCTGCCTCGGATATTCGCAAAACTGTCGTCTTCTTCACGCTCAAAGCTGCAGATTTGCAGACAGGACATGTATTCTTCACAAGAAGCCACTTCGATATGCATTGTTCATGGTATTCATGTCTGCAATCCAGCTGTCCTATGCATTCTTCATTTTCATAATCTCCCTGCCATCGAACAAACATTGCCATATATCGATGATATTACAACATGATTTGAACAACTGGACAACATGATATTACGATACGATACCTGGCATATGACACACAAATTTATTTCCGGCGGATCGCGACGAAGAAGACGAGTCGACATGGAAGTAAAGCTCTTTGTTTTTAAGTTATTACGAACGAATTCCTCGGACAGTTCTGTCTACAACATGACATCAAAACGAAGGTATTTTAAATTAAATGATCGTCTCACCTAAAAGTTTAAACTAATAAAAATCTGCAACAAAACGAGACTCTAATATTACCTCATAAGACATGGGATCGAAGGAATTTCTAAGTTCGACATAGCTGGGAATCTCGAGTATAGCAACTTCCTAAGAAGGCATTCTAGTCAAGCATTTTAGAAATTCATGCATAGTCGAAATAACAAAAAAATGAAAAAGAAGAGGTTAGATTATAATTACATCTTCCGGAAAAACTCTAAAGTAAAGATTGGTGTGTTGTCTTGAATTAGGATCGGTAATAATTTCACTTCGACGAGCGCCAAATGACTGAAAATAGGATGTGTTCCACGAGCATCTGTCTGCATATATATCGGCGATTCAGTGAATTTTGTCGACTAGAATGTAATGGAATAAGGGAAGTTGTAATACTTGATGTAGGCGCCGAGCGAGGATGATGAAATTCAGACAACGAAGCAAAAGGTAAATCAAGATTTGACGCGAGGAGCTGCGGATGGATGACATTGTAATGTGGCGTACCGAAGAATGAAGTATTGTCGTATTGTCCGGGCATTGCAGGATCAGAAACTACAGAATGTATATTCCGGGGCACCTCCGATACCATATTAGATGAAGTAAACGATGGCTCGAAACAATTTATGTATATAAATGTAAAAAGATACTACATTGATCGAAGGCATAATCTTGAATTGACTAAGTAAAGAAGAAATTAGCTTAAACAAACTTAAATTGAAATAACCAAAAATAAGTTCAAGAACAAATGTATTGAATTTAAGAATATTTACCCAATTAGCCATGGATGAAAACACTCATAAACACCAAAGAACAGAGTTTCCTCACCAACCCCAAAATTTAACTCTGAGAATTTAATTCTGGTAAATAATCAATCAAGAATGGAAATGAAAGCTAACCTTTCTATCATGAGAAACCTCCAAAATCTGCACAAGAACTGAACCAGATTAAACTTCTTCAATACTTATTTCATTCCAGGGTTTGAGAAATTTGGGGAAGAAATGGGTTATATGTGAAGTTTCTGAGTCAATGTGAAGATTGATTTTTTTTAATTAAAAAAGAATTTGCTTTCGAATAAATTAAAGAATAATCTTTGTTAGTCATTATTGGACTATTTACCGAATGGTGTTTTTTAATAAAAATTGGAAAGTATAGTTTTAGAGTAAAATGCAAAGAAACAGTCGCAATCTAAGTAAGATATGGCTTTTTGATTACATGATTTCCACTTAAAGTTAGGAAGACTGACATGAAAGAAGCATAAATAGTTGTATTGTCGTTTTTGCACCTAAACTTTGCTTCCACACAACACTTGAACTTAAATGTCATCAGACCTACAAATCAATCAATTTATTATTATTATTATTATTATTATTATTATTATTATTATTGTTATTATTAAATTGTAGATATTAAATATATATAATTAAATCTTTTCAAAACAAAAAAAAAAAAAAAAGTTAAAATGAAACATCTTATTAAAAAGGACATATCATTACATCTTCTCATCGACTGGAATGCGCTATGTGATCTCGTTCGAAAAAAAAAAAAAAAAAACAAAGACCACCTCTCCCCAATAAATAAGTTTCTTTGCCAAACAATTAATCTCTTTAGACTTCTGTATTATTCAAAGCTTTATTCATTGAAAATCACTAATTTAGATAAATAATCTAATATTGATTGATAAATTAATGAAATTAATAATTTTTTTGAATATATTTTAAGTTGCTGAAAAGATCAAAACTCCAAAATATGTTGAAATCAAAGAGAAGTTATTCGAGATCATGCCAAAACTTCAAAATATTATTCATGTTCTTAGTGCAAATCATCAATTTGGTCATTTTCAATTTAAAAGTTAAAGGGACGACGCTACAAAAAAAAATAAATTATGTTACACCAAATCTATTTCTACAAAGATCAAATGAAAATCAATATTCCATCAGTTCTAATTCAAAGAATCATTTTTACCATTTTTATGGTCCTATTTTAAAGTATCTATTTTATATTTTAGAAAAAAAGTAATCCTACCATAATACCAAAATAGCCTTAACTTTTACTTAAATTACAAACATAGCCTTACAAGTACAATTACTTTATAAAAAATGTTAAAGATAAAAATATCAAAATCTCTTATGTACTTCTACTAACGAATATAATACTATTATTTTTTGATCTACTATAAAATCTCAAAGACTTATTTCAAAAGAGTAGGATGGAGTACTACTTATTTGATTCTCAATAAAAATGTATTAGTTTTTTCTTATAAATATCGCATCAAAATATTTAAACAAAAACTAAAATCATCATCTTCTTTCAAATCAATTTCAATCAATGACCCCACAAATCAAATTTTTTAAAATACTATCTAACTAAAATTCAAATCAACAATTCATTTCAAAACAAAACATGTAAACAAAATTTTCAAAAATATATGTTGTAATCTTCTTTTAAATTTGTGAAATCTATCTCCATTATCTCCTAATTGTTTTACTTGTTTTTTGTTTTTATCTCAAACCCTAGCAAGCTAGCTACTCATTTATTTCTTGGTATATAATTTATGTAACAGCCAAAGTTACTGCTTAAAATTTAATCAATCAAATTCACATATATTTTGAGTTTGAAAACTAAAATGCATGTAACTACAATTTATTATAAATTAATAAAAAATTAAACACGAGAAGCACTTTGTTCATTGCTCTCAGTTTCCATAGAATCTGAACATATAAATATATATATATATATTCACAATTATATAATAATTCATCTCTCTATATATTTCTTGTAGTACAAAGACATCGACAAGCCTCTTCCCTTCGTATTACTCAAAAAAACAAAAAATAATAACTGAATAAAAAAACACTCCAAAGGCCAAGCCACGTGGCAGCATAAAAGCCAAAGGGTTTCATCGGCTGCGGCGGCGCCGCCGCCATGGAGTAATTATTGTAAGGATAATAACTTGTCGGCGGGGTATAACTTTGGCCGGTTCCGCCACCGCCGCCGCCGCCGCCGCAGCATACGATGGGATTGGCTGGCGGGCAGTTGGCTTGGTCTACAGGCGGCGGCGGTGGGGCAGCGTCGGAATCCGACGGCGGAGGGTGGCAGGGATACTGGCAAATAGTGCAGTTGCTGCAAGCGTTGGGCGGCGCTGCCGTGATTCCGTCGCCGTAGTTATTGTTGCTGCCGTCGTCGCCGCCGTCGGCTTTGGCTGCGGACCGGTGGGAGACGGTGATCAGCAAAATTAGCGTTGATGAGAAGAGCAGCAGTGGAGATGGAGACATGATTTTTTTTTTTTAATTTATTTATATATATATATTTTGAATGTTTACGTGCTAAATTTGTGCTATATATATATAGACACTCAAATGAGACTTTTTAAATTTAATTAATATTATTATTAGTTGGATATGAAATGCCACGTGTCACGGACGAAGGGTGTGGTGGCATCGGACGTGATGCATGCTGTTTGCATGAAATTCAATAGAAAATTTAATGTTGGCTTTTGCGTCCACATTGTTTAAACTCTTTAGTCTTATTTATCGTTATATATTTTTAAAATATTTACTTTTTCGTCGCAAGTATTAATTTATCATTTTCACCGGTCTCATTCAAATGCATTAATTTTATCTTTTTAATAAAAATAATCATACAATGATATAAAGTCAAAATACTCTTATTTTTTATTTAAATTATGTTACACATCTACAATTATACATAAAGTAAATATATATATATATCAAAATTTACATACTTTCACAAATTAATAAAATACTATTATTTTTTAATTTATTTTAAAATTCTAAGATACCTCCTTTAAATTGGACGGAGGGATTTAGGGAGTATATTACAATAAATTCAAAAGTTATTTTTTATATAAAATATTTATTTATATTTGGTCCAATTTTGCAAACCCGGACTCGGCATGATGAGCTATTTTGGGCATTTAATGAGGCAGCATATATAGCATTAGAATGCATGAAATAATTTATGTCGTCATAATGATGAAAGCATGAAAGGAAATGCATAGAAAGGCACCGATAGACGACGTATGTAGCTGTCACCATGTCGAATTAAGAAGAAATCAAATTGGATGCATATTCCATTACAAATTACGTACTACAAATTAAACACATAATACACACATCCATAAACATACTAAATTAACATTAATATCATTACTGATGTTATACTAGATTAAAATATAAAGAAAAAATAATTTTCATATATAAAACTATCACCTCTATTATTAAAATAAAATATTTATGAATTTTCGTGAAAAAATAGATCATTATATTTGGACCTGACAAAAATACTACTATCATATATATAAAGAAATAATATTAATAGGATATGTTCGACACTACTAGAAAGATACAATAATGCCGTGGAATAAATTGTAGCCGGTGGCCGCAACCCGCAACAATTTTAATAAATTACTGTGCAAATGTCGCGGAATTCTTTCCGCGACAGATCTTATGTGGGTATTTGATATTGTTGCGAAAGACCGCAATAATGCAGTCTGCCGCAGGCAGGAATTAATGACATATTGTTGCGGAATTTTGCAAAAAGTTGTTGTGGTCTTCGGTTTTCCGCAACAAATTGTTGCGGTTATCACTTTGAAATCAAATTGCCGCAAAATTCCGCAACATTTGCTGTACAAATTATTTTAGAAATTTTCGCGGTCTTTTCTTACACTAGAACCAAAATAATTATTTTTAATTTTTTTAATAGTAAAATTGATTATTCATATAATCATAATCTAATTTCAAAATTAAATTTGATAATATTCTAATAATATTATGTAGGTGGAATAGTATCATCGATGTCATCTTTTTCGTTGCTATAATAGTATCTACTCTTACTAGCTTCACTAGTCCGATTCTCACTTCTACTTCAACTTCATTTGATAAGTATCAAATAGATTAGCCATTTGAGGATAATATAGTTCTGGTTCATTAAGAGTACAATTATTAAACTTTAAAAAAATCAGGATTTGTAGCTAGAAATTTTATCACCTGTGGTCGCGACAAGGGATTTTTACCCAAAATACCCAGAACGTCCGCGAAAAATAGCTGTTACGGATTTCCACGTCATTTTGTCACTATTTTTATTATAATTTATGTTTCTGCTATTAATTAATTCGTATTTTTGTATACAATGTTTGTTTGATAAATTCAAAAGATTCGAGAATAAATTCACAATAGTGGTATCAGAACCCTAGGTGATCAACCAATTATGAAATTGAAAGAAAGTTTAATTCGAGTTTGGTAGGACTCGAATATTGGTAAAATGCTAAACTCTATTCCCTTTATTTTCGGTATATTATGATTCTTGATGAAATTGTGGTTTGATAATATGCTGATTTTCTTGTGTTGATTGACTATGCATTTATTGGTGATTAGATTGAATAATCTTAGAATTTTTCGTAATTTATTGTATTTCTTCGTGAATTTTTTTTGGAAATTAGTATTTCTACTATGTAGTTTCTTGGGCTATGTTTCTGTTAGTCTTGAGAAGTTGAGTTGTTATAGTCAATTGTTGGATGCATGTTGATATTTCCATGTGAGATAGAAAATGAATGTTAGATATTATTTGGAAAATGACTAAAAAGAATTGTAAATTGGAGGATAATCAAAATAAAATGATTTTTGTTGCATTATGTGTTTCCTTGGTGAAATAATTGAAATGCGCGTATTAGATTTTTTATTTGTATACTATGTGATTGATTTAGTTTCTTATCTATAGATTCTTTGTGAATAATAAGATGCCAAGTATGAAAATCAAATTGCATGTTTCTTGTGAGAATTAGTTGAAAATAAGCATGGGAAGCTAAAATTAGAACTAATTGTAGAAACTTAGAAATACTTTGATGCATGATGTTGTTTGCTATATGATGAGTTGCATATATTCTTTGATATCTTTGCAATTTGATTGTTTAGTTGACATTATGTAGATTGACTTTCTAATGTGATTCTATTATGTGGATTGTCTTGCTGATGTAATCTTTAAATGTTCTATATGTGATAGCGACTAGTATTGATATTTGGTGATCATATTTGTTACTTGGATTACATATTTATATGCTCTAGTTGTTTTGTTTGATTAAAGCATATTATCTCCTTATTTGATTGTTTGTGGTCAACGAGCCTGTATATTTGCGTTTAGTTTGTGAGCTATTTGTGCTTAGACCGTATGACTCTGTGCTTAGCCTGTAGAACTTGTGCTTAGGCTGTAGGACTTAGTGTTTAAACTATTGGACTTTGTGCTTCGGCTGTAGGGCTTTATGCTTAGGTTGTAGGACATCGTGTTTAGGCTGTAGGACTTTATGCTTAGGCTGTAGGACTTTGCGCTTAGACTGTAGGACTTTATACTTAGACTGTAGGACTCCATGCTTAGGTTGTATGGCTGCATGTTTGAATTGTAGAACCGTGTACTTAAGCTGTAGAGTAGTATGTCTAAACTATAGAATACTGTGTCTAAGTTTATAGAGTAGTGCATCTAAGTTGTAAAGTAGCGTGTCTGAGTTGTAGAGTAGTGTATCTAAGTTGGAGATTTGTGTATCTGACCTGTAGAGTTGCGTGTTTGAGGTATAGAGTAATGTGTCTTTGCTGTTCTGTGTGCCTATGTATTTTGTAGTTGATATCAAATAAGGTGGAGCTCTTGTTAAGTAATTCTAAGTTTTGTATTCAATATGTTGTAGCGTTCTATTTGTGAATATGCATGTATGTTGGTGGATTGTGTAGTAGCTTGTTTGTTCGTTTAGAATATGTAGGTTCATTGTGTTGAATATATTTAAACTTGCTTGTATGATTGTTTTTGTAATAGCTTATGTGTACTACGTGCTAGATTATTAAATTATCAATCTAGGTGCATGTTAGGACTTATGTGTTCTACGTGTGATTTTTTTTCTGCATAACGTTGTTCATAGAAGTAGCGAAGGACAAAAGACGATGATGAAATCCATTGGTGCAAGCTAGGTCTATATCTAGTAAATATGTTTTTTAGATTTCGTTAAATCGGGACCAAAATAGGTGGAGATTGCTGAAAATTTTAGCTGTCCAAGACCTAATCTAACAAGTCTCTCGATAAATAATTAGTTGGCCCACTCTTTAGATCGATCCACCGGGTCGGCGCATTCCTTTAGCCCAAACCCATTAATCCTTTACCCAATCCCAAATTTTTAACCCTAAACCCATTAGTTGATTAGATTAGTTTTGAGGTAGTTTATTAGATACAGAGATTGAGGGTTTGGAGTGAGAGAGCGAGTGAGAGAAAGAGGTTTCTTGGGCGAGTTCCTATCAGTTTTTCAGCTGAGTGAGAAGCTTTTTCGAGTGCCGATTTCGGTAGGTGTCGGCTTGAAGTGATGAGCTGACCTGTAATTTTGAGACGTGATTACCTCTGGCCATTTTGCACCATGACCGAGCCGAACGTCGCGTCCCTAACGCCCGTGAAAGAAGATCGACATGATCGGAAGAGTTTGGAGAAGGTGATCGGAATACCTGCTGTCCAGTCCGTCCGTTGTTGTTTCGGTGTAGATGGCCGGAGCCTGGAACTGCTCGTTCGGGTCCGATTGCCGCTGGAGTTCGCCGCTATTCAACCGCCCTCCGTTGTTTGCTGCCGACCGCCGCCGCGTTCGCTGGTATTGTCGTTGATCGTCGTCTTCGTCTGACTTAGAAATCGACAAGCAGGAAACTTAATTTCTTGGATGGAATCCGTTTCTGAAATTTGAGACGACGAACAGGGAAATTCAAATCCTAATCTCAATTCAATTTCGTTTTCTGTAGTTGAGTCTGAGAAGTGTTTGTTTGATTTCAGATTTAATTTCCAGAATGAAATTAAGCAGAAAGAATTAGATATAATGCTCATTTTTTATACTCCCGTTAATACGACAAAAATACTTATTTAGAGCCAAAAAATAAAAAATAAAATAAAAAATAAAATAAATATATTTTTGGTCTTATTCAATATTATAATTATCAATTTTAGTTTTGGTTTTGATTGTATTCAAAAAGTTTTATCAATTTTGATCAATTTAAATGAAAATTTATCAATTTTAATGCAAAATAATAGAATGACTTGGAAGGTGACTGGGCGTCCCAAACAACCATTTTTTTGATATATATTTTTTATTATATTAATTATTTTTATCATGTAAATTTTACATTAAAAATTATTAAATAATAATTAATACTCCCTCCTCCGTCCCCAATTTATCTATCCATTTTGTTTATGTACGGGATTTTAGGAATATTAGTATTATATTGGAATAAAATAAAAATAAAGATAAAAAGACTGGTAATGATAATATATTGTAAATTAGAAGGGTATTTATAATGTTAGATAGATAGTATAATTACTATAAAAAAAAAATGAAAATTGATAGATTGTTATCAAATCTATTTTAAATCTAAAAAAATAAAATAAATATTTTGTAATATTTTTATAATTTTTACTAATTAATAATAAAAAATTTTAAAACAAAATGAATAGAATACAATTAAATATCTTAAAAATTAATATATAAATATCCTTTAATATAAACAAGTAACGAATAAACTAGTAAAACCAACTAATAGCAATAGCCTAATTTGACAAATACACCCTAAATGAAAATTCGATAACCATAGTCTAGTTTACTCTCTGCGGATTGCAAAACCTACACGTAGTTCTTCTCCCTGCCCTTTGCATTTAAACAGCTTTTTTGGAGCAGAAACGCATCTAACGAAACTCAAAGAGGTAGTAGTTGCGTTCAATTCAGCTTCTCCTCGATCATGCCGTTTCAATTGCAGCGAATTACCAAAAGAGTGTTGATCGGCAATGGACTGCGCTATTCGTGTCAGAGAAGTTTCGTGACGAGCTGCAAGGGAGTGTTATTACCGCGGTTCGGCGGGCCTGAGGTTCTGGAATTCCGTGATAATTTGAATGTGCCCGATCTCAAGCCTAATGAGGTCCTCGTCCGTGCTCGTGCTGTCTCTGTGAATCCTCTTGACTGCAGAGTGAGTGATTTTATTTATTTAATTTAGTTCATTTTGAATCTTGCCTTGTATGGTGATTTGTACGAATCATTCCAGGATTACATACCGGTAACTACTATCTGGCTAATGTTCAATTATTTCAACTATACGTAATCCAAAAATATCTGCTTAATTTTGTTGTTGACATGTGGAATTGCAATGCTATTGAATATTAGTTATTTGAGTGTGTGAATTCCTTGGAAATGATTGGTTGATTGTTGGTTGCAAGGAAATAGAGTAGTATTACTGTTCCATTAGTCTGATTGTGGCTTGCAAGTTCAATTGTGACATTCACTTGTATTTAAGTTTTCAGAATTTGTGCATTGCGTTAGCTATTTAAGTCTTTTACTTTTCAGATGCGTGAGGGCTATGGCCGGTCACTATTCGAACCACTCCTGCCACTAATTCTTGGCCGTGATATTAGTGGCGAAGTTGCGGCAGTTGGAAGCTCTGTCCGTTCACTAAGTGTTGGGCAAGAAGTGTACGGAGCTTTGCATCCTACTGCAGTGAGGGGTACTTATGTTGAGTATGCAATTCTTGCAGAGGATGAGCTTATCTCAAAACCAGAATCCCTTTCACATGTGGTATGTATAGTACAGTACAAATGCTTATGGAAACTTCAAGCAGGAGTAAATTCGTACACCTTTTTCTTGTTTAGCACTACTCTATACACACAAAGTGTAGCCATGCTTATCTTCTGAAAATTGAAGGCAGCTAGTTGGTGATTCTTTGTATTAGGAAATTCTGTAGAGCTTGATGTATAAATGTGTGGAGTATGAATTCATCAGTGTATCATATATGGTTGTTTGACTTGAAAATTTTATCATTTACATCCGTTTTGCACTTTCATGGGTTAAAAATGTCCATGGAATAAGGATTCTTGATCAGAGCTCTGACTGGAGATTTATTTTGTAATCATTAGGAAGCAAGTGCTATACCTTTTCCTGCATTGACTGCTTGGCGTGCACTTAGAGATACAGCCAATATAAAACAGGGGTAAGTTGTAACACTGATAAATGGAAATATTTCCTAATATTTGCCACTTGTGCATGCATTTCAAGTCGTGTAACTTTGAAGTCTTCTAGATTTATAACTTATTTCTGGGTTGAACCTGTTTCATTTGTAGATTATACAGTTAGAAGTTTATGCAACATTCTATGATTCACTTATAAATAGTGTTCTATTAATGTCAATGGGTTTATTACTATATTGAAGCTTTAGGTTTTCTCCAGAGGTTTTTAGCCCTTTCTATTTATTGGTAATGCACTAAACCCTAGTCTCTTGCATTTTTTAAACACTCCATTTTATGACAAAAGTAATAAACTAACCCATTCTGTTGAACTTAATCTACTCTGCAAAACCTAATTTTTGAGTGCCTAAATGCCATTTTTCTTATGATAATATTGTGAGAAATTCTGTTGGCAATGTGTGAATCATCAATGACAGATCTCTTATACTCAAGCATTTATGCTGTCTTTTTTCTCCTCCCTACTGCACTTTATTGCCAAGGTCGTATCATTATCTCAACCTATTTTACTGGCATGCCACTAGTCATGGGGATGCACGCCCTCATTAGAATCGAATTATGGACCTAAGCAACCAAACAAAGGGCAACCTCTAAGTGCAGGAAGTATCAGATTCTGAATTTACACAGCTGAATAGATTCACAGGGTGAACAGCATATGAATGAATACTCAATTTCTTATTCTAAACAACCACTGGCATATCAATTCAGTAATTTTGCATTTTCTTTGAAATATTGCCGAATCTTGATTCTTCATATTGGATGTTTAGTTGTTGCCAACATAGCTAAAATAGCAATTTTATGGTTCATTATCATCAAAGACGAAGTTCAGATTTTGGCATGCTTGCTGTGCATTTGTATTTAACTACACTTGGGTACTAATAAATGTGATTGAATCAGTCAAATTGGATGCTGAATGGTGTGTTAGCCTACTGCATAGAATATGCTTTCTTCTGAAGTATTTGGAACTTGAATATGGCTAAGTAAAGCTGTGATAATAAGAAGTCAGACATAATCATATGTTATGTGAATAGATTGTTGATTGGTAAATTAACAGTAAAGCACCTGTGCCTATTATGTGCAATCACATCCTGTCATTTGCAGTTTTTTTCTTTTTTGAGTTTCTTTTTTCCCCGAAATCTTTGTAGACAAAGGGTGTTGGTGATAGGCGGGGGAGGAGCTGTAGGCTTTTCGGCTATTCAGCTTGCTGTGGCTGTCGGTTGTCATGTCTCTACAACTTGTGAAAAGAAAAGTATTGACCGTATCTTGGCAGCTGGTGCTGAGCAGGCTGTTGACTTTGCAACTGAGGTTGTGAATTACCACATCGCCTATTTGCTGCCTATTGTGTTCATTGAACTCCTGTTTTTAATTTATTGCTTGTCTATGTTCAGTTGTTCACATCTGCCTTCTTCCTTCTTCACATGCATCTCATCTTTAGGATTATGAAGCATCCATTAAAGGACATTTTGATGCTGTATTGGACACAGTCGGAGTACCTGACACAGAAAGAATAGGTATCAATCTTTTGAAGAGAGGTGGCCATTACATGACACTGCAGGTATAACAGAGCCCCAACATTTCCCTTTTCCTAAACAAAATTCCTGTTGTGTGAAATGATCTGTAAATTTTGGTTGCATTGCCTTTTGCAGGGAGAATCAGCTTCCTTGAGTGATAGATATGGACTAGCAATCGGCATTCCTGTGTCAACAGCTGTTTTATTGAAGAAACAAATGCAGTATCGATATTCTCATGGAATAGGTGCGCTATACATCCCAGTTTTGTCTTTTTTGTTTATAGCTGAAATAATTTATGTTTGAACTTGAACTTTACAAACACTAATAGTTTAATCTCCCAAGGAGTTATTGCTTCTTGCGCAATGACTTGTGATTCACTGCATCTTTGTACAATATTGGAGTAGCATAATTAGGTTTTTGGATATCTACTTAGCTCTCAAGGATTGAACATCTCTCTAACTTTCATTGAGTTTATAGAAGTAGATCTTGGAGTTTAATTTTTCTAGCCATTGGTTCAGTGCATGGTTAGCTGTCAAGCTGTGGCATATTAATTAATTATTTTATGACACCCCTTTAGGCCATGTATACACTATGAGAGATTATTTAACCTCCGCATGTTATTTAAACAATTCCAACCGATCCCATGTAGTAAAAACACCCTTTGGAGGATACCGATTACAAAACGAAACTTCCATCTGAAAATCTCATTCAGAACCACCGCGAGAAGCTTACTGTGTCATTTCTCAAAACAGTTCCAGGTGGCCAATCCATTTTCTCTTTTGTTCCGATGTTCAAATCTTGTAGTTTTTCTGAGAGTTAAATCCTTTCTTTCCTGGATTTCCTAGATTTTGTGGCACAGTTCTACATTATATGCAGTCTCTGCACCTAAGTATTTGTCCTTCGACAGGATAACAGCTGATCGATCCACATTTGCTGAAATCTTTGTTGTCTAGTGCCATCCTACTTATCCTTTGTGTCATGATTTACAGAATACAGTTGGACTTATATGAGAGCTGATGCCGAGGGTTTAGCTGAAATTCGGAGGCTATCTGCAGCTGGGAAGCTGAAGGTACCTGTGGAGAAGACATTTCCGATTTCTCAAGCTAGGGATGCCCATGAGGCCAAGGATAAGAGGCTTATTCCAGGTAAAGTTGTTCTCGAAATCGACTAGCCCTGCCCTTCTGCTCTTAATATGATTGAGGAATTTTGACTTGAAACTGAAAATGTGGTGTCAACATGTATGTATATTCTGAATAGCATTTTCAGTTTTGTATACTAGATGAAATAAAGTCGAATGTTTAAGCAAGTGATCTCTGAGATTACCAATTGAAAGGGAAAAGAGAAACAAATGCTGATATGTGTGTCTCTGAGTTTGATTAACTAACCCTTTTATTATTTTTATTGATATATATATATATATATATTCATATATTTGTGGATATGTATTATTGCTGTTATTATTTGGTTAAATAACCAGCATATTCTTTATTTATTTATATTAGTGAAGTTTATGAAAGTTATTATTTTCTACTAGTTTATGGTGAAATGTGTTGGATAATTATATTATATTGCTACAAGAATTTATAACAAATGTTCAATGATTTATAATTATTCTTTTTGCCCCTTGCCATTTTTATTCTTAGCTAGAACACCCAAGTGACCTTGTATTTTTTTTTTTTTTTATTATTTACTTCAATTGCTTTCCTAAGTATTTTAAAAAGTGAAATTTAAAAATTAATTTATTGATTAATTATGTATATATATTTATTTGTGTTATAAAAATTTTATTTTTCAGAAAATAACATTGATATATTGAATTTATATTAAAAATTAGCTTTTGAAACCTTCAAAATATATAAATTTATTTTTATAGTCACATCAAACCAAAAATATTTAGCAAACACACCTTTTGATTTTTAATACATTACATTAATATTCAGCAAACCAATATCAATTTATTCTTCTACATAAGATAATATCAACAAATCTTTTACAAGATAAAAATTATTTATTTGAAGTTTGTTTCAATTTTTTTTATCATCATACCATTTTTTTAATTTCTTATAAAATGCAATATTTTATCTTTTAAAATTACAATAACATATGCAAACGATTCAAACAAAAACTTATAACGAAACCCCAACTAAGCAAAATTCAAAGCCTGTTGTCCCATAAGGAATGTTATGGTGTTTTGGGGTAAATTTACGACCATAAAATTATGAGTTCAAACTTTCGACATTTCTGAACTTTCGTCACTACTTTATTTAAAAACTATTATGTTCTATCAGAATTTTACGTAAATTAGTGGTTATTTTATTATTATATTTTGAAAGGGAGGTTATTTTTTAAGTGAATATATATATATATATATTTCTGCATTTATGTGTGTTTGTGTGTGTTTTTTTTTTTAAATTTAATTTATTGGGTATACATTAATTATATATATAGATTCAATTATTTTAAATTCAAGTTTAAATATTTGTAACTAAATAAAACTTTGTTATTTTTATAAATACATGTCAATTTTCATATTTGTATCTTCCGACATTAAAAAAATATATTTACATAAAAACAATACATTTTGCAATAAATTAATGTTCAAGTGAATATTAACAAAATTATTTTCACACATGATAACTATATCATGCAATCAAACCACCTTAACATCTTCACATATACTAATAAATATGCAACAAAAAACATTATAAATTATGCTTATTATTAAAAATCAATCTTTCATCTCAAAATTCAATTTATTCATTCATGAAAGAAATATATATTGTAACAAATAATTTATTAGACATTTCATATATAACCTCAATTTATTGTGTACATGTAATGAGCTTGATTCCACATGTATTTTATAGTCACATCAAACCAATTTTTTTTTTTTTTTTTTTTGGATTGTTAAAAAAATAAAGTGATAAGTATTGTTGTTTTATGAGATATATATATATATATATATATTGAAGGGTGAAATGGGATTTCAAACTAAAGTTTTATATATATATATATATGGTTTTTGTAATATATAGATTTTTGTAATGGTATTATATTTAAAAATTAAAGCAAATAAGAAGTAGAATATCATTATATTTCACTTATCATATTGGATTTTTGTAATACTATTATATACTTTTGATTTTTTATGATATAGATATGTAAAATTGATATTATAATTTAGGTAAAATTAATATAAATTCATTACAGGTGAATATATGTAATATTTAGAAAATTTATGTTATAAGTTCATATAAAAATGATAAATTCTATAATGCACTTATGTTTAGCAAATATATAGGCTAGAGTAATGCATTTTCTATTAAAATATATCTTACAATGAAGAATATTATAATATTGCAATGAATAATATTTAAAGTAGTACATGAATATATATAATATATTGTGGGAACCGTACAATCTAATATAATATATATATGTATATATTTACTGCGTTGAAAATTAATAATATATTGTATTTTATATTATATTATTATATATTATTCAAATTTGTTGTGTATATTATATTATTAGTGCAATAATTTATGTGCAGTTATAATGAAATATTTTTTTATTATTAGTGTAATATTAAATTAATCATTTGGTACTATTCATTTTCTTTTAAAATATCACATCAAATGTACTTTTTTTTCTCACAAAACATCGAATCAAATATTAACTTTTTATTTTTTCTAAACTTTCAAATTTCCAAAAACCTCCAAAAATCCATATCTAAACAAACCCTGTGTTTGTTTTGATTTTTTTATTTTTGTAGGATTTTTATAAAAGTTTAAACCGAATTCCAGCTAAGCAAGCCCAAAGCCTATATTCAAACATTTGCAAATCTTATGTTTAATATTTTTGATTGATCATTTCATTACATTTCAAACACTTATCACAAATTATATTTAAACAGTTTTGCTATAGTTTATGTTTAAATAGTAATTTAATATTAATATTTTGTAAATAATAATAATATAGAAAATGATGGAGATTACATGTGTTTATTTTTACTCTCAAAATAAAAAAACACAATTATTTGATCCGCATATTTGTCCATACAAATAATATTATTTTATCAAAATATCATAGTATTAAAATATTATATAAATAAAAAATCAAAATCAAATAAGTCGGTAGTAAATAAATTAAATAAATATAAAATAAATTGTATAATATCCATTTATTTTTTATTATAAATACACAAAATATATTATATTTCATTTATTGTGTGAAATTCATTTTATTAAATTTAAGTATAGTGCTTTCAAAGCTGATGTTGGCCGCACCTAATTGTGAAGTGTTATATACATAAATAAATAAATAAAGTAATGTTTTAAATAATCTTCTTTGACTATAATAATAAATAAATAATTGATAAATTATTTAGAGATTATTATTATTATTTTTATTTTTTATTTTTGTAAAAATTTGGTTACAATTTGTCTTTAAAAATTACAAAATAAAGAATTGATTAATTATTTATTTATTATAAAAACGATTATCTAAAATATTTTATTCATTTTATTGTATAGCGCTTGCATAATTGGACACATTATATAACAAGTCTTTGAACGAAGAAAACATATTTTAAATTAACAAAAGAAGTTTCTACAAAATAAATAAAATGCATACTTGTGCAATTTTTATTTTCATTTTACTATTCAAATAATTTTTTTCCTCCAAAAATATCAAATTAATCACCTAATTTTCATTTATTATACTCCCTCCGTCCCAGATACCGTGTCTGCTAACACGGTGTTTTAGGAAGGGTGTAATTAGTAGATAATTAAGAATGTATTAGTAAAAATAATTATCTTATAATCTAAATAATTATAAATTAAGATTAAGATAAGTAATTAGTTTAATTAAAATTAAAAAAAATAAAATGAGATTAAAGTGTGTAATCATTTTTCAAAAAAGGAAAATGACATGGTATATGAGACGGACAGAAACGGCAACGTGGACATGGTATTTGGGACGTAGGGAGTATTACACTTAAATTAAATTTTACATTCAAAATATCACATCAATATATATCTATATCACATCAAACAACTATTTCAATTCAAAATTTTACTATTCAAAATCAAAATTCAAAATCAAAATCTCACATATAAACACACTCATAAATAGTTTTTATATTTATAATAAAATACAAGAAGTATATATAATTTGCCAATGTACATATATCTCAAGGAGAAAAAGTATCTTATGTATTTATTATTATTGTCGAACGTGTATAATAATCGTTTCACCTAAAAGCTCATCCGAGAGCTAGGGCTCTGATACCATAGCGCATAATGCGTAGAATGATCATTTTACCTAAAATTTTAAACTCTTACATTGTACATCATTAATTTATTTATTGTGTTTGGCCGTATATTTATTTTTTCTTTTTTTTTTTTTAAATAGTCTTACTATTCATAAAAAACTCACTTTTTTTAAAAATTTTTTTTTTTTACTATTCATCAAAGATTTCTTTTATTTTAAATTTTGTACATGTTACTATTCAAAATTAAATCCAAACAAATTCACTATTAGCATTTATATACCTAAACTTAAATTATTTTAAATTCACATTGAAATTGAAATATTTTCAACCAAACAATATTTTTACCTTCCAATATTAAAAAAAAGAACTATATTATTTCCACACATTATGATTATGCAATCAAACCAACTTAACACCCTTAATATAAACATGAATATATTATGCTAATTATTAAAAATATTTTACTTCAAATATTTATTCATTGATGAAAGAAATACAAAGTAAATAAAGATAACAATTTATTAGACAATTCATATATATAATATTTTATTGAAGACATTTAATAGATCCAATTCCACATGCATTTAAAAGCTTTTCTCCATTAGGAGAATTGTAGAAATCCTTCTCTTCTGAATGACCATAAGCACAACTGCATTGATATTGCTTTCTAAGTTGGTCACAACACTTCAAACTTGGCTGCTGCTGCTGCTGCTTATTTTCAATATTTTTATTATTCAAGAAACATTCCTTCTTCAATTTGGGAAAATCACATTTTATTTTTCCTGATATTACTGCATCAACATTTATAAACATCACACAAAATATCATTGCAACAAGAAGACATGCAATTATTTTACCCATAGCCATGACTGAAAAACGATTTTATTTTATTTTATTTTTTTTTAATGTGTAAGTTTTATGATATATATATATATATATATATATTGAAGGGTGGAATGAGATTTCAAAGTAAAGTTATATAGGATTTTTGTAATAGGTTTGTAAGAATAAAAAACAAATAGTAAATATAATTTGTTTCATCTGCTACATTGGATTTTTGTAATGTGCAGATTTTTGCAGTGGAATTGCGAATATAAAAAGCAGTGAATATCATTTATTTTA